TGGCCTGGCACCCCCACAGCCGTGGAAGAGCTGCCTCCAACCCCCCACATTTCTCCAATGTCCTTTCTCACTCGGACCCCATGCTTTGCAGGACCTCCGCCCACCAAGGTGGCGCTCTCGGCCTCATCCCAGACGTGGCCGTCAGCGTGCAACCTCCGTCTTCCTCCTCCAGGGGCCACCCCTTCTCACTTGCTGTGACACTGGCTGTCAGCTGTCTTAGCTGTGTTGGCTGGGTGCCCAGCTGCCTGGAAATGGCACAGCAATGATGTCACTGCTGACAAACCCTGTAGCCACAAACTGAATGCTCATTCCATGGCTCGATGAGAATGCAGGTGGGGCTCCCCTGTGATCACTAATCCTTTCCATTCCTCTAGGACTGAAGGGGGTGCATCGTGATTGCGCAGATAAGGGAGAGGATGGGAGTGGCCATTTTAATGAGGGGAAGACTGAGGCTCAGAAATGCTAAAAAAAGGAAAACCATCTCAAGCTCTCTGAACAAATCCTCTTCGGCAACTGGAAATGAAAATGGGCCACAGAGAGCCTCTCCCGGAGGCGATGTTCCTGCAAGAGGGCCAGCTCCCCGGTTCCCTCAGGGGAGCCCCTTGAGCATGGAGCAAGGAGCAATGGAAGCCTAGGTCCCGGGAAGAGGCGCCCCAGCTCCCCACTTGGCCTATCCTGGGGGGCGGGCTGCATGGCCCCAACAGGCTCGGAATGGGCGGAATCCAAGTCACTTGGTCCCCTTGGCACAGATCCAGGGTCTTGAAGAGGTGCAGTCCAGAGCCACGAGCTTGCCTCCCTCCAGGCTCCCGCACTTGAGAGCCAGCTGGTCATCGTCTTCCTCCGGGAGTCTGGGGAAGGATGAGAGGGAGGAGGGTGCTCAGGGCGACCGGGCCTCCTGCCAGGCACACCTACTGCCAGGTTGGGGTGGGAGTCCTGAGGACGCCCTGGTGGCACATCCCTTATCTGTAGAACAGGGTGACAGTCCTGCTTGGGTGAATGTGCTGGGGTCCCAAACAAGGGACGGGGTGACCGGGACTAAAGGCCTTGAGCATGGGGTGGGGTCGGCCTCCTGGAGGCGCGCAGGCTGGGGTGGAGCGGGGGACTGGGTCTGGGGAGATGGAGGATCCAGAACAGCAGTGGGGGGGGGAGGTGTCTGCAGAAGGGGAAGGCCCCCAGCCCCGCTTTGATGCCTGCTGTGATGTCACTCTGGTCACACTGGGGAGCCCACCCTAGTGCAGTGGGGAGAGAGGGAGCCCCCCCCCAGGCCCAGAGTCACTCACCGCTGGGTGGTCCCGTCAATCCAGTGCCAGCCCTCGGGGCCCATCACGGCCCCCACCCAGGAGTTCTTGATGACAAGGTATCTGGCCAGGAAGCCCTGAGGGAGAGAAGCAGCTGGTCACTCTTCTCTGGACGCTGGCTCACCTGGCCAGGCCAGAGAAGCTACTCAGCTTTACCCAACCCGCCTAAACGCGAGGAATCGGAAAGCTGCGTCAGATGCTTGCTGGGTGCGAGGTGCTGCACTCGGGCCGGGGACCAGAGATGGGGGCGATCCCATCTCCGCCCTCAAGGGGGGATGTGAATGCCAATCCCCACCCAGCAACCAGCGATGGTTATTTGTATTGACGGAGGAACAAGGAGGAGGTGGGGGAGGCAGGAGCAAAGCTGGGAGGCTGCGCAGCGTGCAGGTAACAGCGGGCGGCCTCCCTGGAGAGGAGGTGGGAGGTGGGGTGAATCAGGCTGCGGGGGCCGCCTGGGGCAGATGGGCAACAACCCGATGCCAGCAAGAGCATCGATTACATTGTATCAGTTCGGTGCAGTATTATTAAGGCCATTAAATAAAAGCATGAAGCCCACAGAGCACTACGGGGAGAGATGCAGCAGGTGAAAGGCTGTAGTAGGTGAAAAAGCCGAGTCACAGTTGTGGTTTGATTATAATAATGAAAACGTCTACGTACGTGGACCCCACATGAGGAACAACAAGAATGAAAACAAGTGTGTTAGCCACTAGGTGATTTCTTTTACATTTATCCTCGATGTCATTTTTAACAATGAAGTAAAGCAAAACATGGTATTTCAAAAATCTCAGCTTGTTTTTAAACTGCAGTGTAATTGTATCTGTAAGGCGTTTCGACGCTGCAGCTCCCGCTGCGATGCTCCGGTCCACACCCGCCCCGTCTCGCTGGAGCATAACTCCGGGCCCCCTAACGATAGCGGTTACACAGCTCCTGTCGCTCGGGTGGGTGATTCCACTTTGGGGAGTAAATCCAAGAGCATAAAAGGGAGAAAATGAATTTATCCGAAGGTAACACAGTACCATTTATAAAGAAAAAGTGGAAGCCATCCAAATGCCAAGCAATCAGGAAACAACTAGACCAATTATGGGATATCCACAGGACGGAAAATTGCAGTGTTGTTAAAGATGACGACTACATAGAAAATGTAGTTATGCAAGGAAATGTAAACACGGAATCAGGGCAAGTGGAAAAGGCTGGCACCCCGGCAAGCTCGCCTCGCTCAGAGTGCCAACAAGCATACATTCACGTTAGTGAAGCGGGTGGAATAAATGAATTTAAAGTTATATTCAGCTCCTCCCCCGAAAATGGTTTGACAGAGATGAAACCTCTGTATTTAACCCTGGGAATTAGCAAGTAAGTGCTGGAGTGATGGCCGTCCCTTGGTGGTACTCCCTTTCATCCTTCAGGTCTCAGCCCAAAGGTCCTTTCCTGTAGGTACACTGTGAACTTGGTGAGGACTGGGGGCCAGTCTTACCATGGACCACGAGCACCCAGCACACAGTTGGCCAGCTCAGCAAAACTCCCTCCCTGTGATCCTGCCAGTAACCACCAAGGGCCCCAGGTAGCACCGGGGCCACCAGCCGGTCAACAGCCGAGAGGAGCCAGAAGCGACTTGCAGGTAACCTTGCTAACCTTACCCATCTGAGATCCCAAAGATCAGACTGCGTATGAAAGTGGAGGGTGGTGGCGAGAACGGGCCAGGCACGCACAGCCCTGCCTTGGCTGGCAGCTTCCACTCTGGCTCCACACCACCGCCTGGGCCCGGGGCAGAGCTGGGCGGGGAGCTCTGCCGAGGATGAGAAGGAACCTGGGCTGGCCCAGAGGTGTGACTCAGAAGGCAGAGCAGCCCAAGCACCTCGCTGCATGGCTGTACAGATCCGGACAGCACAGTCCTCCTGGGAGCCACCAGCTGCTGGCTGGGGAAGGCGCACCGGGGCTCAGAGAGGGGCTGTCACAGCTGGGAGTAGAGCTTTGGGGCCCGGCTGTCCCATATTTAAATTCTGGTTCTGTGACTTGTAAGGTCTGTGACCTAAGGCAGGTTGCCCAGCCTTTCAGAGCTTCACCATGGTCCCCTGTAAAACGGGGACGTTTGTAATGAGGCCTGAGATCGTATGTATAAAGCCAAGGACACATAGTACTCACTCATTAAACGTCCCCTCTGCTGAGGAAGCCCGTCTCTGCTGGGTGGTGTGCAAAGCTGTATGCCCGGCCCCCACACAACCTCATCTGATGCTTATGGCAATGCCAAGAGGACCCTGTCCTTTCTGTTCCTAGCCCTCCGGGCCTCCCAGTGACAGGAGCCATGGCCTATCCCCACCCAGCAACACTGACTTCATTCGGCTCTTCTTTTCCTTGAAGCTCAGACTCCATTAACCTGTTCTCACTGTTAGCAAAAATTATGGTGTGGGAAAAGCATTGTCTAGAGTTATAAAGAAATTCCAGCAACTTCCAGTTCAAAGGACTGCTCTGTAATGATGGCACAGTGATCCCGGGGCCTCACCACTTCCCGCTGGTGGGACTCCAGCTTTCCCACCAATGTGGAGAGGGAAACTTTGGTCCTGAGAAGAATTTACTTGAAATTTCATATTTTACATCCTGAAATTCATATAAGTTACTTTCCTATTTCCTCCACCCCGCAAAACAAAGCTGTTACTGGGCCAATGGTAAGTGACTCGGAGATGGCATAGGTGGCCCTTAAAACTTTCTTCTTTTTGCTGTGAGCAAAACCAGCTCGGGGGAGGACAAGCCATGTTTATCCTGGAGCTGTGTGCACCCGCTGGCACCAAGGCATGTCCCTGGTTTGTGCATCCCAGCTCAGGAACCTTGGCCTTTTCTAGCCTGTCCTCTCCACTCTGGCTCCACACCTCCTGGAGCTACTGGCCCTTGTCCAGATCTGAGGAGGATTCCAGAGCTCCATGGTCATCAGGCGCTGAATTTTAACTGTCTAGGACCCAAATCTTAGTTTGGGTCTTTCTGCAAGGAGCTTTTAATTTTTTAAATTTTTTTAAAATTTAGCTTTATTGTTGAGAGTATTACAGGTGTCCCATTTCCCCCCCCAATTGACCCCCTCCACTTCGCTCCCANACTGTGTCCATGGGTTATGCATATATGCATATAACTTCTTTGGTTAATCTCTTCCCACCCTCCACCCCCTTCCCTCGTCCCTCTGAAATATGATCGCCTGTTGCATGCATCAATGTCTCTGGCTCTATTTAGTTCGTCAGATTCTTTTGTTCATTAGCTGCTTCCTAAAGAAGACCCTTCAGCTTTTCCTATAGTGCTGGTCTAATGGTGATGAACTCCCTTAGCTTTTCCTTGTCTGAGAAGCTCTTTATCTGACCTTCAGTTCTAAATGATAGCTTTGCTGGGTAGAGCAATCTTGGTTGTAGTTCCATGTTTTTCATCACTTTGAATATTTCTTGCCACTCCCTTCTGGCCTGCAAGGTTTCTGTTGAGACATCAGCTGACAGTCGCATGGGGGCTCCCTTGTAGGTAACTAATTGATTTTCTCTTGCTGTTTTTAAGGTTCTTTCTCTGTTTTAACCTTTGGCATTTTAATGATGATGTCTCTTGCTGTGGGCCTCTTTGGGTTCCTCTTGTTTGGGACCCTCTGTGCTTCCTGGACTTGTAAGTCGATTTCTTTCCCCAGGTAGGGGAAGTTTTCTGCAATTATTTTTTCAAATAGGTTTTCAATTTGTTGGTCTCTTTCTCCCCCTTCTGGCACCCCAATAAGATGAATGTTGGGCCTCGTGAAGTTGTCCCAGAGGCCCCTTATACTATCTTCATATTTCTGGATTCTTTTTTCTTTTTGCTCTTCTGGTTGGGTGTTTTTTGTTTCCTCATGTTCCAAATTGCTGATTTGATTCTCAGTGTCCTGTACTCTACTGTTGACTCCCTGTAAATTATTCTTCATTTTAGTTCATGTAGCCTTCATTTCACATTGGTACTTTATTATGTTATCAATTTTCTCAGTTATTTCCCTAATAGTCTGCTTAAACATCCTTATAAACAAAATTCTGAACTCTGTATCTGTTAGCTTGCTTGGATATATTTCATTTAGTTCCTCCTCTAGAGATTTCTTCTGTTCTTTCCTTTGTGACATGTTTCTTTGCTTCCACATTTTGGCTGCTTCCAGGTGTTTGTTTCTGTGTATTAGGTAGAGCTGCTGTGTCTCCTGGAATTTGTAGAGTGGCTTTGTGTAGTAGGTGTCCTGTAGGGTCCAGTGGCTCAGCCTCCCCAGTCCCCTGAGCTGGGCCTTCCAGGTGCTCCCGTGTGGGCTGTGTGCTCTGACCTGTTGTAGTTGAGCCTTGGTTGCTGTTGGCGTCACTGGGAGGAAGTGACCCCCAGGCCAATCGGCTGTGAGGACCAGCTGCAGCTACAGCCAAAGAGCTGCTGTGCTGGAGACACCCCT